GGAGTCCTAGTGGACAATCACTTAAATATGAGTCAGCAGTGTGCTGCAGCTGCCAAAAAAGCCAACACAATGCTAGGCTGCATTAACAGAGGGATAGAATCAAGATCACATGAAGTATTAATACCACTTTATGATGCCTTCATAAGGCCACAGATGGAATACTGCATCCAGTTTTGGTCACCACGATGTAAAAAAGATGTTGAGACTCTAGAAAGAGTACAGAAAAGAGCAACAAAGATGATTAGGGGACTGGAGGCTAAACATATAAGGAACGGTTGCTAGAATTGGGTATGTCTAGTTTAATAAAGAGAAGGACGAGGGGGGACATGATAGTGTTCCAATATCTCAGGGGTTGCAAATAATAATAATAATAATAATAACAACAACAACAACAATAATAGTAATAGTAATAGTAATAATAATATAATGCTAGAGTTAGTTGTCTTCCTATTTCTTCTATTGATACCCAATTTGACAGTCCTCTATTCTCCTAACTTTCCCTAAAGCTTTGAAGACTTGGCTACCCCAAGTGCTGGAATAAGTTGGGTAATTGCACATTAGAAGTTTGATTTGGTGCCAGGTCTTTGTTGTTTTTAATATTTTTCTGTGGTTAGTTTTATAGCTTTAATATTTCATGTTGTTTTAACTTTTTGATTGAGAGCCACCCTGAGTTTTTAAAAATGGATGATTATATAATTGGTTTGAACAGACATACAGAGCTGATTTTCTGATTAAAAGAAGGGTGGCGACCATGTATCTCCTTCTATCTGGCCCCATTTAAAATAACATTGCCCTAAAGGTGGGCTATTAGTCCGACCAATGGGCAGGAAAGCTTCAATGAGGGCTAAAGGTAACCCAGTTACAGTAACAGTTACAGTAGCAGAATAGAGTTGGGAAGGACCTTGGAAGTTTTCTAGTCCAACCTCCTGGGACCCTATACCAGTGATGGCGAAACTTTTAGAGACTGAGTGCCCAAACCGCAACCCAAAAACCCACTTATTTATCGCAAAGTGCCAGGGCTGCATCAGCATTGTGGTGCCCTTGGGGGGGGGGCATGGCCCACTGGGTGGGAGTGGCTGCGGTGGTGACAGCAGACTGAATGGGCGTGGCCAGGGTGGGCATGGCCACCTTAATATTGCTCGTGGGGGGATGCCTGTGGGGACTGGGCAGAATTGGGGGGGTTCCAGAGGGTCTCTGGTGGGTGGGGCGATGGGCAGGAGGCTCATCCTGCAGGGTGAGGCAGGGGGTAAGGCAGGGATGCCATTGCTGTGGGTCAAGGCGAGGCCAGTGAGCGCATGGGGGCGTGCTCTACCACCTCTACTTGAGCTTGCTAGTCAGCTGCTTCGCCTCCTTTGTGCTGGGTGGGGCTGCTATTCCGGGTGCCAGCAATGGTCTAATGGACCTGCGTGAGCTGGCGGCGGTGGCGGCAGGTGTGCCCACAGAGAGGGCTCTGAGTGCCGACGCGTGCCATAGGTTCGCCATCACTGCCTTATACCATTTCAGACAAGAAGTTGTCCTATGTCTTCTTAAAAGCCTCAGATGATGAAGCACCCACAGCTTCTGAAGGCAAAGCGGTTCCACTGATTTTTTTCACTGACAGGACATTTCTCCTTAGTTCTAGGTTGCTTCTCTTTAATGAGTGTATCGCAAATACAATGCGCTCGACTAGCCTTATTTATAGGGAAAGGCAGAAGATCAGTATACTGTAACTTAAGTTTAAATTTAAGAAGCAAAATGCCGCATCGACTAAACTTTATTGAGATCGAGGGCCACTACGTGTGTCACATTCACACTCTAAATCAAGACAAGTCAAAACGCCACGTGTAACATCGGCAGCGCAGATCCGCCGCGTTGCCCTTGTGGCAAACGTTCACTCAGGCAAGAGCGTAAACAGCCGGCTGCGGAGGCGTGACATCACCCGGAGGACTTCCCTTCACAGGAAGCCGGAAGTCCCGGCCTTGAACCAGCTGACGTGTTATAAGAGGCGCTCCGATGGTCCCGGAGTGGCGGAGGAATAGTCGGCATGGAGGTTCTTTATCATCAGACCAACAAGTGGGTGTGAGGGGCAAGCATGGAAAGCTCTCCGGAGCGGGGAACAAACGCGGAAATGAATTGGGAAGCGAAGGGAAGGCTCTGGAAGAGGAAAGGAGCGGGAGGCGGGGGAACAGAAGGCGAACGAGGACAGTTGCCAGGAGGCGCCAGCGCCAATAGCCACGCTTTTATAACTCTTTAAATAGTTACGTAACGATCTTACAACCTTCCCCGTAGGAATGGGGGACTCGGGACCTCCAGATGTTCTTGATTGCCTCTCTCGGTATCCCCCCGTTGGCCGCAGGCTCCCCTGGGAGGACCGCTGCTTCTTCGCTCTTTTAGGGGAACAAGCCTTCTGGACGAACAACAGCAGCTTCTGGAAAGCCAGTTACTGAATTTATGGTAGAAGAGGGATTTCAGTTTGAGCAAATGGTGTCTTGTTTAATCATCCTGGCTATCCAATAAGAGAGCCCTTGTTTAATTTGACAGACTAATAATTGGAATGGAACTCACTTTGATGCCCAAGGGATGGCTTTGATTAATTTCATGCTAAAACAGTGGACCAATGCAATATATTAATTACAATAAAACTCTCCTTGCCGTAGAAAGGAGGCTTTGTTTAATTTCATACTGTTACAATTGAACAACACAGTATAGTCAAACAATACAATTCAATCAAAAGATTAACCAATAACAAGAACTACCCTGAAATGAGAAGTAACTCATAAAAATAACACTTGGTCATTGGATTTCTAATGTTTTTGAAGTCATAGGTTCTAGTTACAGCAAACTGGATATTTCAGCCCAACATTCTGTACTGAGAATTTTCAGTTCAGGTGAATTCTTGCTTTGTTTGAGGAATCTATGATTTCTCATTTTAAAACATTAATTTCATGTTTTCTTAGTTATGATATTCTATGTATAGAGTTCTTTGGGTGGGATTTTAACCCTCAAGATAATTAAAGATTTTGAAAAAAATATCAATATGCTAAATAAACTTCATAATTGAGAAAACTATGAAGTAAATTAAGACTAAGAAGATTAGTTCTCTTTGTTTTTTCATTGGAAGAAATTTGATCATTATAAGAATTTCAAGTGAAAAAGCCTTGCACTTTGTCTCTTCATCCTCGTAAAACTTCAAATAGGAAACAGGTTGAAATAGAGTGAGTATCAATAATATCATGAATTGACCTGAACTTTGGTCTCCCTGGTCCAGCTGTATACTTGAACCAAGGTGCAAATTTCCCTCATGTTGTATTACATATGCCTTCACATATGGCACTCTTGTGAAACTATGGTCCTAAAGTTTGACAAGATGGATTCTGATTTGAAAGGGAAAGAAATAGTATGAGAGGCATGGGAACCTCTGAAACAATCACCAGCATATTGATAAATCAGTCATAGCAGTGTGAAGAAGTCTAATGGACCAACTACATTAATTCATTTTAGCTATAATGTGTTCTTATCTTTTTGTCTAAATGTAGTCTTTGCCATTTTTCCAATCCAAGGACAAGTACTAACTTTATGTACCAAGTGCTTAGTTCTTACACTACTTAATTTTGAAAAGGTCAAAATGATAACTTTGTGTCTGATTAAAATACTATTCAGTGTCACTGTACTATAGGTTTAACATCCAACCCTAGCTCAGCTTAATTTTTGTTCACTAATGGTTTGGTATGTGTTTAGATTCTTTCTTAGCCAATCCTAACCCTTGCAGAAGTATGTTAATATGTTTTAGTTTTCTTTTGTGCAGTTTTAAAAGGTTATTTTACTGAGATGTTATTTAATGATGTCTTAATTATAAAATAAAATGAGAGTAATATAAAACATTATACAATACATATTGAAATTAACAGCATCAAATATTAGTTAAGTCTCTTGCTTCGTGACTTGGTAAAGTCGGTTTGGATTTATCTATTCGATTTATCCATATCATAGTTGAGAAGACACTGATGAATATAGTGACACTACTACATCCATCAGAACTGAATAAAGATCCACTATCCAACAATAACTAATAATTATGCATGATCAAATTGATTTTAATAACCACATAAATGTATTTTTCTCCATGAATATAATAATAATAGATGAAACATGGCATATATAACACATTTCCAGATGATGTCAACACCTAAATCAAAGATATTCTGAAAAATTGTTAATTGTGAAAAAGCCAACTATATGGAGGTATATCAAATTCTGATGAGAGGGGATTTTATTTGAAACTGCAGGCATCCCATCAAAAAAATAGTGCCTGCAGATCTCTCCCCTCCCCCTCCGACTTAGGAGAATTGGTAAATTACTACTACTACATGCTGGATAGATTGATAATGATGATGAGGATGAGGATCAGGATGAGGATGATGATAAAGTTGGGACCTTGGAGGTCATCTAGTCCAACCCCCTGCTCAGGCAGGAAACCCTATACCATTTCGGACAAATAGCTGTCCAGTCTCTTAAAAACTTCCAGTGTTGGAGCATTCACCGCTTCTGGAGGCAGGTTGTTCCACTGGTTAATTGTTCTAACTGTCAGGAAGTTTCTCCTTAGTTCTAGGTTGCTTCTCTCTTTGGTTAGTTTCCACCCATTGCTTCTTGTCGTGCCTTCAGGACAAGTTCAAAGAAATGTTCCTGTTAGGACCTTGGATTGAATTCATCAATTAAAAATTAATTCTTACTTCAGACACAGTGACAGTAACATATTTCTATGAATGTTTTCTTTCAAGTGTACATATTTGCATATGTAAATTTTTTGCACATTTGAAGCAATTAAAAGTTTCTAATTTTTTGGAATGGGGAATTGAAATATATGTGATATTTAATTTTTAAAACCCATACCAAATAGACATTTACTTCATTACTCTATAAAATGTGTTGTATTTAACATGGTTCATGGTAGAAATAGATTTGTTGAAAATATTAAAACATACTTTATTCAAGCTATAGAGTTGATAGAGTTTTCTTTAAAATTGTTTTAAGTTCTGTTATAAATGGAACTAAAATGCTGAACTCCTAAGGAAAGTATGTCTTCTAATGTTGAAATAAAAAGAAATATAACTATTGAAATGAAGAAAGCCATTATGATATTCTAGGTTGTGTTTTTCCCTTTATCAAATAGTTGCAGAAAATTTTGTTTGAAAAATAAAGAAAAAAAATGGAAACTATGGGACAGAATATATATACTGAAGTCGGATGTTTAAATCAGTCTCAATTTTTGAATCTAAATTCTCATCAAGGGTGCCTCTTCTTTTTCCTTTTCCTCTATTTTTTTTCATTCTATCATTTTTCTGACTTTCTGAAAAATAAAGGTTGCTGTGTTATTCTTATTCTTAGCTTATGTAATGTATTAGAATTGTAAGAATTGTAAGCCAGTCAGTTGGCTGAGATGGGCGACTATAGAAATTGTATTAATCAATTAATTAATTAATTAATTAATTATTTTCTAGTATAAACCATTTTTTGTATCTAGTTTATAAATGATTTAAAATGAAATATTAAATATTCCATAATTTATTCTTTTGCATTTTCAGTTGGATGGAGAATAATACCATACTCTGTGTCTTCTCATCAGTGTTTTGTTTTTTTGTTTTTTTTTTGCAGATCTGCTCCATACTTTCTCTACTTTCTGATTGCCTTTTCTCTCTCGTGGTGTGATGCCATCATTTCTGTGCAATATATTCATTTCCAGGAGATGTCATGGGGCAGAGCATTCTTCCCCTCCTTTCTCCACTGGATCTCCAGTGTCCTGTCACATTTTCTGTGCCTCTGGCATGATTTGTTCTGTTTCCAAAACAGGTCTTCCAATTGGCAAGGCTGTTTGTTTTGGAGATGATCCTTAGGAAATGTGCCAGATAATTAATGGAAGCATCACAACTCCCAGTTTAAGATAAACTAGAAAGCACAGATCCATCAACATTCTCATTTTATTAGGAATGTGAAAGTTTGAGAAACTGCTTGAAGTGGAAAGTCTCCAATGCTTAAATTGATTTAGGTTTTTCTTGTAGTTAAGATAGTTAAATTGAAATATTGAAGTAAAAAGAGTGTGAACTGCTGTTTTCTAGCAATTAAAGATTGGGTTGAAATTTGCTTTTTAAGAATATTAAATATTTGAAGACAACTCACTATTAAGATTGTTTAGACTGGAATTTATTTGGTTTCATCCAAATATACTTGAGTGCACAACTTTTGAGGAAGACTGATTTAGCATTTTGTGATGTGGGATAGGAGGGGTAGGAGCATTAAACGGATATAGGGGAATATAAAAGTTTAATATATAAATGCTGATTTTATAATTTCTCGATTTATTCTTTCAATTGCCTGATGTAACCAATGACAATTCAGAACACCATGAATTTTAAACAATTGTTTATAAAACAGGAGATTGGGGAATTATGAGGAAAAAAAATCGACTGGGTTTTTTTCTTTTCTACAACTCTGTCATCTCAGTTTTGCAAATAAGGTGGTAATAGTTGGTAGACTCGGTAAGGCTACCTGTACTTACTCATGTCTGATGTGAAAAGAATCAGTTTGACTTTCTTGGTCATCTGCAGATGGTGCTTAGTCTCTATAATTGGGGAGACAAAAATGGCTGCTTATAATCCTGCTTGGAGGTTGTATAAAAACCTTTATGGAAAAAACCTTTAATGCTTATGGAAAGTAATGTATCGATATTAAGAAGTGTAGTTTACCAACCTTATAATATTCATTTAGTTGAACAAAATTTTTTTGGGGAGAATCTCTTGTTCTATGCATTAGTATCTATTCTTGAAAAATTCACTTTTTCTTTTGGAATAGCTAGTAGATTTCCTGCTTTCCTATTTTCTTTTTTAATAGGCAGATCCACGAAGTTCAGTCATACATGGGCCGCCTGGAAACCTCAGACAAGGAGTCTGTTCACTGTGAGTAATTGGTGTATAAAAGTAACCTGAGTGCCACAAGCATTTTGTCTTCTAATAATATCTGAGCTCTTTTTGTTGAAATCAGTGAAAAATAGATAAAAAAACATGATATAAGAAATTTACTATGACTTATCAGTTTGTTTAAAATGCCTCAATGGACTTTAAAATCTGTATCAATTGTGAAGCCATACCATTTGGATCACAATACAGTACAATACAAAATAACACAACACAATACTTTATTTGGCCAAGTGACCTTGTGACATACAAGGAAGCTCTCAATGTACATGCAAAGCATCAGAGTAATAATAATCATAAAAATAATAATAGCAATTAAAGGGGGTAGTAAAGAAGATAATAATGATAGTAATAATACTACAGCCATATTACATGAATAAGTATACCTAGACATTAATCCTATGAGAATTATTATATAAATTCTCCAATATATTTGAGACTCATAGTTCCTGTTCCTTTTGTATTATGAAACTATGGTTATTTTGACTTCTTAGCTCCTTTTTGTCTCATATGAAGAGAGGAGCAAAGTAGGTTTTAAAAAAAGGGCTGCTATAGATTGGTGCCTTTTAAAGCAATAGCTGATGATGTTAACTTGACCAGCATAGACGGTTGGCTCACAAAAGCAGGCATTGGGTTGGAAAGAAAACATTGTGCATCTTAAAGCAGCGAGGAGAACTTCTTTTATTTGTCTCCCTCTGTAGTGGTGGAAAATGAAATCCAAGCACGAATAGACAGAATTTTTAGCAATCTAGACCGGTTGGAAATCTTCTGCAACAAGGAACATCCAAACAAGCGACAAAATGCCAAACTGTGAGTGATTCTTTTTCTTAATGTTATCTTAACACATTTTAATTTACCGATACACATTGAGAGATGTGTTATTTTTATGCTGATATTATCAAATATTTCCCAAACCAAATGAAAAGTGAGACATAATAAATGCTCCGATTCAGATATATTTTTTTGGTTCTGTAAAATTGTAACTGCCATTGAGAAGGGCTTTTTGCAGCTATCATTGTCTTTTTTTCTATGAGTGTTTTCTCAGCAGATCTCCTGGACTGGATACTATGGGAATAATTTTCCAATTGGAAATCTTGGTAGAAAGAGTACTGGAAAAAATTCCCACCTGAATCATGAAGAGCTGATTTTCAACTAAAATATAATATAATAGCAACTAAATAGCTGCTTTGTACATCTATATGTATGTGGCCAAAGGTATAACACTGCTAGAGCACAGGTTTTCTATAATTATGTGCAGTGTTTCACTGAACAAAGAGAGGTTTGCTTTATAACACACCTGCAGTCTTTTCCCATTAATTATGATCTTATTTGGGGAGAGCTTATTATCTATTGCCTCTTTTCAGCCGGGTTGACCAGTTGAAATACGACATTCAGCACCTGCAGACAGGATTGCGAAATTTCCAGCATCGTCGCTATGCGCGGGAGCAGCAAGAAAGACAACGTGAGGAGCTTCTGACTCGAACATTTACCACTAATGTAAGTCCTGCCTTTAAAACCAGAGAACTTTGGCTTAAATTTGCTTGCTTTCTGAGTTTGGTCCTCAAAATTTTATAGCCACATTTTTTTTTAAACTAGTTGTTGTTCACATAGTTTTTTACCCAAAAATTAAGTGAACAATACACTTGAGAATGCACTGGGGCTGCCCGGGGACTGAGATGGAAAAGAATTTGGGAGGGCAGGAAGTTTGAATTTCATGGCCATAGCACATTGTTGACTCTGCAGAGGCTTTGGGTTAAGAATGTTGAGGAAAGATAACCATTTCTTTCCCTCCCCCTGCAGGATTCTGACACCACCATTCCAATTGATGAAACATTACAATTTAATGAATCCCTTCAAAATGCACACCGTGGCATGGATGATCTTATTGGCAGCGGAACCAGCATCCTACAGGGCCTGAGGGATCAGAGAGTGACATTAAAGGTGGGCATAGGGTGGGACCTTCACCTTTTTTGTTTATGGTGACTAGGCATCCACTATATTTGAAATTTGAATATCAGAAATTTATTAGAACAGTTCAAGCTCCCCAATTCAGTCATTCTGGCTATGGATTACATGGAATCTAAATCTATTCTTGTTGTATCTTTGCTCTCCAAGCTAGCTGCAGCACTTGCATCTTTGGAAGGAATTGGGTGTTTTATTAATATAAATAATTCAATTATTTGAAGATACCTGTAATTAAAATAAACACAACCATAGAAATAAAAGAGATTTTTACAAGTCTGCTTCTGGAAGAAGCTCTTGCGGCTCTTATGACTTGGACTGTTTCACCTAGCAAGTGCTTTGCATACAAGAGATCATGATTCTCCAGTTACAACTTTCCAGTGATCATTGATGGGAAAGACTCATGAATCCATAGAGAGAGCTGATTAGTTGGATTCAGCAACAAACTGGGTTAGATAGACAAACAGTCTTTTAAGCAACTTCCTTGAATAAAGTAATTGAGTAAAAAAACCACCCCAATCTGATGGTTGTCTCTTCCATTCTAAACTATTGAAAGTGGATCCTCCATGCCAGTGGTACCTAAGGAAAATGTTTGCATGAGGTTTACTTCAGCTTTGTTTTCTTCCATTTTTCCTCTTCCTTGCTTCTTTGCCCTTCCTCAGAAGTCCTGCTTATAATCATTGCTGGCTTTGGTCTCATTTCTCCAATCATGCCTTGTGTATTTGATCTCCTCTACTTGTTAAGACTGTCTTAATATTTTCCTATGTTATCTACTTTGTTACTGTGTATTCTACTGTTATCAACATGTTATATCCTTAATACAAAGCCCTTGTTGTTTCTAAATTATGTAAACTCTTTCTCCTCACCTTATCCTCAAATGTCCCACAGCTTCTTCTGTAGTGGTTAAAAAAAATAGCAGTGCTTAGTAGTTGCTGATGCAAAGAATAGTTTGGAACCTGACGCCTATTTTTATTCTAACCCTACTCTATTCTTGAGGTAATACTTGGAAGAGACTAGGTTGGGCAAGGGATGTGGGCCTTGTGGATTTAGCAGTTTCCCATGTTTTGGAAGTAGAGATATCTTGGAATGCAACTCAGACTGAAGTAGCCAATTCCAGAAATCTTTGACAGATAAATGAAGTGCCCCTATTAAAGAAAAACTAATTGACTGAATATTTACAAATAGTCAGAAAGTCTCTTTTTCCTAATTTTATAGTAAAAATACTCAAATACTAGTTTTTGTTCATTGTTTAATTACACAGTGCTGCTTTGTAGTTAGGTATGTGCATAGCATACCATTCTGGAGAAGTCTACAACGTTCCATTTGTCCTCTTGCCCACATAGACTGCCTAACTATCAGCAGAATAGTGAGATCTGTAAGATCTGGAAGATGGCAGGAACATTCTAGACTTCTCCAGAATGTTCTGTACCTGGGACAGTGAGTTTTACACATTCCAGTTGCTTTACTACTGTTCTGATAGCTGCAAGCATATTCTTCCTTGCTGTTAAGTGGTTCTTATTAGCTGCTGTCTTATTATCTTGGTATGTTTTCAGCTTAAGGATCAGAGCTTGATATACTCAGTATGTACCAAGGTATTTATATATCTGTGGGTCTGGCCATTTTTTGCTATCTTGCATATGCATAAAATTGTGGTTAGGCTTCTATGACTATGTAAAGTTTTTTTTTATAATAAAGAGTTAGGTTGTCCATATAATGTATTTGCTTCTCCTGTAATTGTGGTGGATCTATTTGGGTCAGTCTAGCTGAATAGTTCATGTGACTTCCTTGTGGTTGCTGGACTTATGTGGTGTGATTTGCTTAATTGGCAATGGAGAAAATTGTATCAGTGTGATGTGGCTTATGCTAGGCTTCTCTGCTGTGAGCAGAGGAGGGAGGATTATCCTGATATTAAGCATCATATTGCCAGCAGAGCAAGCCCCAAATAATCTGTAGACAGCAGTGGAATCCAGTGATACATGAGATAGTGAAACAGCCCTAAGGAAGACAGACACCAAGAGAGTCATGTGGTTCTAATGGGACAGCTTCTTTAATCACCACCAAATAAGTTAGTCCAAAGAATAAAAAGACTAACTGCCACAAGGAAGTCACCTTTGAAGTGGGTGAACTGAGGAACAAATACATTGCTGAGATAATCTCTGTAGGAGAAAGAGTAAGTGCTTGTGAGAGAGAGAGATAATGACCATAAGTTCCAGATGAGCTCACCTACCCACTCCATTTCAAGGTCACATTATTTATTATTTTGTTATAGTTTCCTGGAACAAAACCCTTGCAAATAACAAGGGCGACCTATATTGCTTTATGGCTGGGCAGACTTACATGGGAAAATGTACAAAATATGGAGCCTAAAGCTATTATTAAAAATAGTTTCTTAGCTTGTGATTGCAAACTGTATATAGGGAAGTTATGTAGAACAGTCAAGGGTAGCCTGTGTTTTCCAGCAAAGTAAGCCCCTCTGTGGTGAGTAAATCATGATCCACAAGTATATTACCATTTGGCCTGATTTTATTTGCAAGAGAGCTGATAATGCCATTTCAACTGTATACGTTTTAAAATATTCTTCTATTGGATTGACCAAGTGATATGGGATAATTTTAAAAGCAGAAAGGAAATATTAAATAAAAATAGAAATTACCACTATTCCTCTTCCCTCCTTCCAAATTATTTTTAAAATTTTAGGTGACTGCAGACACTTATAGAAGGCATAAGAATTACAATTTCTGAAGAGCAAAAGATTGGTTGGAAATTGAGAGTGGGTGAGAAAAAATGGATATGTAAAATAAAGTGATTCACATGCCATTGTAAACTATGCATCCTGTTTCTGGAGAGACTGAAGACTCTGTAGGAAATATCTGAAGAGGAGTACCTTGAAAGTCAAAAGACCCTCTCTGACAACTTTTTTTAAACTAATATTGTCACTTTTTTTTCTGTTACTTTCAGGGCACCCACAAGAAAATAATGGATGTTGCCAACATGCTCGGTTTATCTAATACAGTCATGCGTCTCATTGAGAAACGTGCCTTCCAGGATAAGTACTTCATGATTGGAGGCATGCTTGTGACATGCATAATCATGTTCCTCGTAGTGCAGTATCTTACTTGAAAGGCTGAAGAACACACTACCAGACTGAGTTAAGCGTTCCTTTCTACACTGATTTCCAGCATAACTGTGAATCTCCTGGATTGGCTACAGCTGCCACGTGACTCATATGATGCTCAAGTTGAGTGGCTCATATAGATTCTCCCGTTGGTGTGCAGGAATGCTTATCCACACAGCACTCATAATTTTTCAGTCATATAGTGGGCATGTTGCCCATGTGACTCTCAAGCTTAGTTGATGAGGGCAGGAGCTGTCTCCTTTAGTTCTCTTAGTAATCCTGGTATAAGTTATAAAACCTCTCAACAAAGTGACCAATAAAGTATTACTATTGGATCTATAGATTTCATAGTTCCTCAAGATCAAGATGTATACGTCTGCAAACACTGTAATTACTAGTGAAAATGAAGCAACCTGGCTTGAAGGACTTATTGGCTTAACTTATTGCAGGTGTGGGACATAGGGAGACTGTCTTGTTCCCAGGATTGATTAAAATAAATAGAAATACTTTAGTCCATGTGCAATGGAGATGGTTTTTGATAATTATAGATTCTGCATCTATCATTTATCTAGAGTAAACATTGTGTAAACTAGCTGAACTACAGTGTAGTAACTCACTTTAAAGTAAATAATGGATGTGTTAGGGACCATGATAATTCAGATACATGTGCTAATGCACCCTGTAGCAGAATCCTGCTTTTAGTGTTAGGAAAGAAGTGTGGGACATGCTGCTTACCATACAGGTGAATAACAAACTTCCTTACAAAATGCATTTATATGTGTATTTTTAAAAATTTGTACGTAGAATCACTGGTTCACAGTGTAGCCATTGTGTTTGTCACAGCAGTCTCATCTTTTAATCCCCTAGCTTTTGTGTATTCAGTTTCTTCTACTTTTCATGAATGGAAAATTTATTATTTCTGCAATTTTATGCTGCACAGTTCCAAAAAAACATTTATACAGTGAGATCTAACAAGATGAATTTAGCCACTTTTGAGTCTAAAGTATACAATCCTTAATGGATTTTGGGAGGGGGCGGGGAGATTTGAAATCTTGTGCAGATCTCCTAAAGAACAGAGTTAAGTTGAAAGCTTCCAGGTAAATGCATATAAACCTATCATTTGATATCTCAGACCTATTGTCCTTTGTTCCAACTGGACCAGTATTATTGTTTTGTTTGAAAAAGCTGATTGTGAATAGATGAATAGCATAAATGTTATTCCATATTATAACAAATTATGTGTGCTGTTCTGTACTGTAAATCTCCAAGATTTCAAGAAATCCTTACAGCTGATATAACCTGTGTTATGAATTTTCTGTTTGCAAATGGTGCCTGGCTGTCCAACTAAGCTGGGTCAACTAAGGTATAGTATCAAAGTTGAATTGTCTTTTTCTACATCCCCAAATTCATTAATACAACCATATGCTGAAATAGACATCCAAGCATCACGTACAAATTGCAATCTGGCTATGTTCCTGATAACAGTTTATTTGATCCTTGCTTCATTTTTACTGATAAAGATAATGTTTCAGTAAGTTTAAGCAGATTAAAAATTCTTCTAAAGCAGATAACGGAAAATATTCAACAGTAATTATAGTTTCATTCTGTTTGGTTTTTTTTTTTCTTCTGCTGTATTGACCTACTCCTCCAAATTAAAGTTCCCTTTTTCCTTTAAGGAGTCACATGCTTTGCTTTAAAGGAGGTATTTAATTGAAATATGGCTAGATGTTAATTAAGTTTATTGTCATGCTATGCCATACATTTTTAAAAGATAGAATGTAAAGCATTCTCATAGGGATACTCTGAGAACAAATTATATTAGATATTGGGAAGCCCTTGAATTATAATTTTCAAATTAATGTCTCTTTAGAAGCATTCAGTCTGCCTTTCCAAGCCCTTAGTAATGGCAGGTATAATATATGTGTCCTTTCCCTAGTAGTTCCTAGAATACACATTTTAAAGTGCAAGCAGTCTGTTTTAGTTTGACAAGATTTCTGTCTATAATTGAGGAGCAATAAGAAAATTACTTAGAAGGATCTCAATTTATCTTTCTTTCTTGGAGCTGACAGAGACTTATTCCATATCAAGACATTCTCAGTATACTAACTTTACAGGGATGTTGTGGGGGAAAATAGAAGAAAGTGCTATGTATGCTACTATGTATGCTGCTAAATGAAAAATATGGTTAAAAATTAAATGAAGACATAAATAACTTCCATACCCAACAACACTTTGATTTAATGGATCTTTCTGGGAGGAAATAATCCCTGATTGTCAATGAAATCCAATTCATATCAAGTTGCCTTTTTAAAAATGTTTGTAATGATGTGCAAATTATAGGGGAATATTTCATTTCACCAAGGAAGCAGAAATCACTGTCTTTGGATCTGTTTGATGACAAAATAGAAGATTGCTACTTGGAATATAAAAAAAATAAATGGATTAAGGAGCATGAATTAATGAATGGAACTAAGGAAAGAAAAAAACAGGTAAGTTGTATGTCTTTGAAATCAAGAGGATAAACTGGAATGGAGTCTATTCAGTGGACCTGGAGGATGATGACCTAATCTTGTAAAGGAGAGTTGAGAATACATGCAGGGGACCATGGTTATAGTTCGTGGTCTTCTCCCTCATTCCCACCCATCCATTCATGCCATCTAACAGACTTAATTTTTCCCAAGAACATTCACTCATAATGTTCTATAATATTTCCCAAGTCTCATCTTTTTTTTATTTATCACAGTTCACTGGAGCGTAACATACCAATATCAGCATCTGGCAAATCCTACTTTTCATTTATATACTCAATAACCAAGATAATACAAATTCATTCTGATACAGTACACATTTTTATCTTTTCATCCACAATGGACTATATTTTGAGCTTTTCAGAGATATAAAGATGATTAATGACCACTTGTTTAGAAAAATAACCATTTTAGGTAAATATTAAGTTTAATAATGTCTAGTTACGCAGAGTAAAAGAAATTACAAGTTCAAAACCATGATTGATTTGATGGTTTATGATGAAAGGTAGAGAATTAAAGAATAATACAAGGACCGTGAGCAACTAGGAAGAAACACTTCTTTGATGGAGTTGAAAGAAGATTTTGGGGGGAAATGAACCTGGAAAGAAGTGGAAAAAAAGCAGTGAAGGAAATATAAAAAGAAAGATGAAATGAAAGACTAGATGAGGAAAATGTGCACAAAAAAATCTTGCTGCAAATAAGGATGAGAGAAAGTAATTATGTATATGGAAGAGTTGCAAAGAATGACGCCAAAGAGCAAGGTCTGGTTAAGATTAAAAGATGGAAGAAAAGGCAAGATGCGTTGGATGGAAATTTTAAGAAACGTGAGAAATAGTTTGAACAAGGAGTCTCCAGTTAAGTGACAAAAAAATGAAGTGGAGGAAACCAACATGAGGAAAAATGGGAGTATTTTAGAAATTATATGGGGTTGATACTCATACTATGTGTGAAAGTGAAACAAAAATTATAAATGACAATGCCCAAGGGAAAAAGAAACCACATGAAATAAATGCTGTGAGAATGTTGAAAAATAATAAAGCTACTTGTGTATATATAACTGCAGAAATGCTAAGAGGTGATTTGCTTATGGAAGTGGCTGGACAGCATGCTTACTGTGTGTTCTGAAGAGTGCATCTATATCTAACAATTGGAAGATTCTGTTTCCCTACAACAAGATGAAGAGGGATTCATTTATTAAAAGTGCTTGGAAGATATTTGGCAAAATTGTTCTGGGAAGGTACAAGAGGTAAATATTAGCAACATTTCAGAAGTACAGGGCAGTTTGGAGTGGAACACTTAGTGAATAAAACGAGAGGGGAGGGAATAAAACATGGATGTGTGATATCCCCCTGCGTAATACATTTCAGGGGTACAAATATGCAAATACTTTTATACGCAAATAGTGTCATGTTGGTATAGGACTCAAATGATGTGCAGTAAATGTTAGATAAATTGTATAGTTCCCTAAGGAATATGAGTCTGTATATTAATGTATTGAAGACCTAGTTATGTTTGGTAGGGAAATAGAGTGAATAATTGCAAATTATAAGTGGTTAAAATGAGAGAAATAAATAAACAGTTGCTAAAGATGGGGAAATAAATTTATTAATTAAATTGATATAACTATTCATCTTGCTACTGTGACTCTGGGCAGGGTACAAAGTAAAGAATCTAGAAAACAATGCAAAGTCAACCAAAGAATAACTATAAAAATCATTACAAACAATAAAACTATTAAAGCATTAATCAGTGAGAGAGTGCTATTCATTTTCTTAAAAGTATGACCACTTAGTAAACTTTCCACTAACTTCCCTGGATCCAAAGGGCAGATGACAAAGTCAGGTCTTAAGACTCTTCTTGAAGCCTACTAAGGTCCAGGCCAATCTCACCTTGGGAGTTACGATGTTCCAAGCACTGTGGGAGAAAAGGTCTCCTTGGTCCCATCAAATAACATTCCTTCATGGATAGTTTGCCCAATCTACCCTTTCTGCTGGGTTTGATAGGATACTGTAGGTAGATATACGAGTAGTCCTCAACTTAACAATTTTTCATTTAGTGACCAAAGTTCACTATGGGTACTGAACAAAATGACTTATGACCATTTTTCGTACAACAACCATTGCAGCATTCCCATGGTCACATGATCAAAATTTGGAGGCTTAGCAACTGGAACATTTATATGATGGTTGCAGGGTCTCAGTGTCACATGATCACCTTTTGCAACCTTCTGACAAGCAAAGTCAATGGGGAAACCAGATTCACTTTACAACCATATTACTAACTTAACAACTGCAGTGATTCACTTCGCGATAACCAAGCAAAGTTTGATTTTGCTTCCTCTTTCAGTAGCTTACTAGCTTCTGACATATCCAGAGACTGTAAAGATCCCGTTTTATTTTATAAGCAAAGGTTGCCCTCTAGTGGTGATAGATGTAAGTTTGCTCTCTATTTATTTATTTATTTATTTACATTTATTTATTTATTTATTTATTTATTTATTTATTTATTTATTTATTTACATCTACTGTATGTAAATTCTGCTCCCCATATCTCAATAGAAATTTGATAAGAATGTTTGCTGGAGATTTTCTTTTAATTTTCACTATTTGATCTCTAGAATGGCATAAATAGAAACATAGAAAACTGATGACAGAAAAAGACCTACTGATTCCTTGAAAATTTTGTTTTCTTTTTAATTTATTTATTGTTTCAAAGGTGCTTTTCAAAAGGCAATTGGACTTCCATGGGTTTTTTTCCCTTGAAAACATTTTGCTTCTCATCCAAGTAGCTTCTTCAGTTCTTATTTATTTATTATCTTTAATTATTTTTATTTATTTATTTTTATTTTTTGTCTTATGTTAGACATGTGTTTATTATCCCAAGCATGTTTGAACTCAGTTACTGATGATTGGTCCACTACCTCGCTGGAAGTTGCTTCCAAGTTTCCACTCTTCATTCTGTGAAGTAATACTTTCTAATATTACTTTTGAATTTCCCTCCTATCAGTTTAAGATTATGTCCCTGTGTTTTTGATTTTTGCTTAATATTGAAAATACTTCCTTCTAGAACTTATTCACATCCTTAATATATTTAAAAGTTTCAATCATGTCCCTCCCCACCAACCCCATTTTCCCTTCTGTTCTCCAGGCTGTACATATTCAGTTTCTCCAATATTTCCTGATATGACCCTCAGACCTTGCACCATTATTGTTGCCCATCTCTGGACTCAATCTTATCAATATCTTTTTTAAAAGTGAGGTCTCTAGAACTAGACAGTGTTCCAAATAGAGTTTGACTAAAGCCCTGTATAACAAGATTGGACCTCCTTTTTCCTGATGGTAATCCCTCTAGTGATGTACCCCAGAATTTTGTTTTTGCCTTCACAGCTGCCTAGCCCCATTGTTTATTCAGTTTACAGTCATCTGCTATGAGCTCACCTAAATCTTTTTCTTCTGCGATTCTGTCTAATACTGTACCTCAATACCATACCTTACTAGCATCGTTGTTATGGGGGAGCTGAAACTATTTTAGCTGACTAACAGGAAAAGCTCTCAATATATTCCACAACAGGAGAAAAAAATTATATATAGTATTGGAAGAAAACAGACACTTCTTCTCTCATTCTGAAAAGAATGTAGTATTCAGAATTTTGCCTTTCTTAACAAAACATTTGAATAAACCAGCCAATATATAGGAACTGGCTTCATTTTAAGTGCATTGCTGGGAAAAGCAATAATTGGAAGACAGATGTGCTGTCAATAAAAATA